ATCTGTGCAGGGAATTGGGACATAGACTCAGAGTCCGTAGATAATCGGGAGCAAACGCATCCAAACACTGAGCTAGACTTAGAGGGGGAAATGGGAATCTCTCTGTAAAGGGACAGAATGAGCACTAAAAATGTGACTGGAAGGACCAGCAGTTAGTGTAATGGCTATGTCGCTGGACTCCCATGTAGTTGACCATGGTTCAAGTCCTGGACCCAGTGGCTTAAACTCACACTGGGCACGTGTGCGTGCGTGCCCGAGATCCCTAGAGGAGAATGGAGGATTGCGGCATGGCCATTCCCCCTGGGGAGTGATTTCTCACTTTCTGTCTCTCTGTCTCTCTCTGTCTTTCTGGCAAGTACACATGCCCTATAGCAAAAACCTCTCCAAAAAAATAATGTGACTGAATGGACAAAGAATTTGTTCTTCCTGTGAACACATCTGTTCATCGCTGAAGACCAATACCACTTTTCAAAAAGTACCAGACACAGTGCTCTTTTCCACCTGATAAAAATCTTTGTAGAGGGTCGGGCCTGTGGCACAGTGGTTATGCATTGTACAGAGAAAGCTGGATCCCGAGTTACTGGATCTAGCTGGGTTTGAGTCCCAGCTCCAATGGCTCAAAAAAACACACAGGGCAAGTGTCTGATTCAAAGGAAAAAGAATTATGGTGTGATTGGATTCCACTGGGAGTCTCTCTCTCTTGTGTATGCACATGTGCCCTCTAGAATAAAAAGCAAACCTTAGGGCCAGCAGGTGGCATAGGGGTTAAGGCACTGGACTCCCATGGGACTGACTGCAGTTCGAGTCCCAAGAGGAGAATGGAGGAGAAGGGACTGCAGTGTGACCATGCCTCAGTAAGAGTGATTTTTCCCTCTGCCTCGATCTGTTAAGAACCCTTACCTTCTGGCAATTATAATAATTTCTTTGAATTAAAAAAAAAAAAAAAAAAAAACCTCATTCAGTCTCTTGAGACATCATTAATCTACCCCCACAAGTATGGCCTTCACGATGCAATCAATCATCATGAAACAATCACTTCCCACTAGATGCACCGCCTCCCAACATCATATCCCAAACATGAAACTTTGGGGGAAAACCATGGTCCAAACCATAGAAGGCTCATATCCTGGCTTCCTCCTGAATACACTGGGCATCTCGAGCAAGCTACTTCACCTTTCTGTGCTGAACCTGTAACTAGTTCATTGGCCGTCTATAAAGATACTCATCAGCCAGTTTCACCTGTCATGAGAATTAAAGGGGTTAACAGAAGCAAAGAGCTTCTGAGCACAGTGACGCACCTGGCAGGAAGGACACAGTCATCTTAGCTCGCTCGTGGTCAATGAACCGTGACATCCCATTGCCATGTCTTTGGGGGAGCCTTCAGGTTTGGGACACTTTCCAGTTGCCATCAGTAGCATTGATTATGATGTGGGGACTGGCATTTTACTGTCAGGAGTCTTTTTCTCCTCTCTCTTTTTTTTTTTGCTATTGCTGGGCTGTCAGCTCTGGATAATAGACCTGCTTTCTGATAGTTATTTGTACTATTACAAAGTGCCAATTTCTCTGACACCAGAGCAGCCCGAACTCCTGCCAGCAGAGACTGCAGCTCTTCTAGCCCCTGCTCTGTCCCCCACTTTGGCTCTCTGTCCTTGGCCAGAAGCAAAAAGAGTTGCTGTGTGGCAAGTTCACATTTGTCAGCACGGTACCCTGTCCTCTGCAGAGTCATTTTCTCTTCCCTAATTCTTCACTCTTTTAAACCAGAACTCTGATTACTCCTGCTTTGCATTGAAAGGTCCCTTAGCAACCCTTATGAACTGCATTTGATACTAATTTGCTTCCAATACTGCTAGATTTACCAAACTCTTGGTTCTTCCAGGATACATCTTAAAATGTAATAAACAGATGTAAATGGCTTTTTACCACATCCACACACAAATATCGTCCTTTATGGGATTGTTGAACTATTGCCAAGTTGAGCAGAAAGCCCATTTTAGGTGAATCCTATTTTCCCCTTACCATCAACAAAAATAATCTCCTAGATTTACTTCTCCATGTTTGTGTGTAAAACACCACCACTGCGCTTAAGAATAAAGAAAATATTTTAAATAGTTCATAATATTTAAATAAATAGACAATTTTATAAGACACGATTTATTTAGACTCCATTTCTAGAAAAGATATAAACAGTGCTGTGCTTAAACTAGCTTCCTGGATGTCAAAAAAAAAATTGTTTTGGTAGTATTTGCTTCTATCCATGATGTGATACTCCCACTATGGCCAATTTCAACCTATCAATTGTTAAAAGGGAGCTCAAAAAATTCCTCTTAACAAGTACAAAGCTTCTAGTACTCTGGTAGAAGCCAGTCTAAAAAGATACATGAAGTGCATCAAGATAGAAATAAAAGGAAGATGAGAAAGAATGAATGAAATAAAAATAGAGCTATAAAATGCAGACAGGAATTTGTAAATATAAATATCCATACTGTAACATTCTACACGCTTTTGATACTAATATTTGGCTTTAAGAAACTCCCAGTACCGAAGGAAGCAGCTTACCTGGTTCACAGTGCTCTTCGGGTTAAAGTCGTCACATGCTGAGAAGTACCAGTTTCCTGTTCATCAAGTAGGTCACATTTCTGCTCCTGAGGGTCTTGTACGGCAGAGACTGCTACAGCGCGAATGTCCTCATCTTTAGGCTGGTGGCCTGACTCTGAGATTGCAATGAGGCAACAGTAATGCTTCAGGACACCGGGCCCAGCCAGGAGCCAGGGACCACCGTGCCCACATTCCTAGCGTGATCCCTGGCAGAAGAAGACACAGACGTATAGTACAGCCTTGGAGTCACCTTCAGAGCTTTTGCTAAAGACCAGACAGTAGTTAAGTTTGAAATTGCTCTCCCAGGTGGATCTCTCCACCTGAAACGTGTTCACTGGTCATAAAACCTGATTCATGTGTCCTAATCCACAATCATGGCACAGGTAAGAATGCTATTCCTTACGGAAAACAGATGTCGCTCGGGATACCCTTATAAGACCTTGCCTTCTCTACTTGGAGGTAATTCCTGATGCAATATTCAAAGGAAATGCAAATACTAAAGGTCTAGATTCTGATCTACGTTGCACAGTGGTGTTATGGGTACAAAGGAAGAGGAGGGAATGATGGTTGTGCAGTGAACTGAGAATTTTCTCCATTTTATCAGCCTCCTTCCCAAAGGTGTGTGAAGAGAAAAGGTCACCTCCTCATTCATTGGTATTTTTGGAATTTGCTGAAAAGCTTTTGATTAAAAAAAAAATAAACTTTTTATTAAAGTGCAATGCACATGCAGAAAAGTCCATAAATCATAATGAAAAGGAAAAGAGAACCAAGACACCAGCACTAAATCAAGAAGTAGATTTTTTAGAAAGGGTCTTGCTATGTCGCAATGCTCCCGTGCTGAGTAACTGGGATTACAGACATGCACCACTGTGTCAGGCTTAAGCAGAATGTGGGGCTGGCAGGTGGCATGGTGCTTCAGGTGCTGGACTCTCACATAGCAAACTATGGTTCAAGTCTCAGACCTGACAGCTTGCTCTCTCATTTTTGTTTTCTCTCTCTTTCTCCTTCTCTCTCTCTCTCCTTCTCTCATCAAATTAAAAAATAATAATAACAAATAAATATTAAAAAAGAAAGAAGTAGAATACTATCTGCCCCCAACTGCTTGCTTACATTCTTCCCTCATCATTGTCTCTTACTCACTGACATAACGAATTCATCTTACCTGGTTTTAAACCTCACATTAATGAACACACATTGTAAGTAGCAATTTGTGCCAGGTTTCCCTCCCCCATTGTTACATTTGTGAGTTTTATCTGCATGGTTGCAAGTAGGTACAGAAGGTTCAGTCTTATTGCTGCACAGTATTCTGTTGTTTTAATATATGGCAATGTATCTATTTTACGTTTGTTGAGAATTTGCATTGTTTATAGCTTGTAGTTACTATGAATAAAGTGCTTACCAACATCCTAGCACATGTCTTTTGGTGGATATACCAATCATTCTCTTGGGTATATACAGAGGAGGAAATTGCTGGGTCATATTGTACTGCCTTAATAAATACAACCATAAAGTTTTCCAGAGTGCTTGTATCCCAAAAGATAACATTTTACTCATTTATTTATTTTGGAGAGATTTTTGCTGTATAGGGTATGTGAGCTCACCAGAGACAGAGACAGAAAGCAAGAAATCATCCCCCAGAGGGCATGGCCATGCTGCAATCTTGGGCACGCACGCGCGCGCGTGCACGCACACACACACACATACACACACACACACACACACACACACACACGGTGTGAGTTTGTAGCCGCTGGGTCCGGGACTCAAATCACATCGGCCATATGGGAATCCAGTCATGTAACCGCTATGCCATCTGCTGGTCCTCATAGTTTACTCATTTAGATAGGCAAAAATCTTTTAAACTACAGTGACCCAAGTTAGAGAAGTTGTGACAGATTTTGTACATTAATCTATAGCTTGTAACTCTACGCAATCCGGCAACATGGGAGGGAGGAGGTCACGAAATACATACATTTAGGAATTTCAAGCAAAGATTTAAGGTTAATCACAAGTCCCAAGGGCAAAGTGATAAACATTCATTGATTCAGTCATTCATTAAACAAACAAAAATAAGCCACTCAGGGTGTGTGTGTTAATTAAAGGATTTGTTTCCCACTAGAGACATTTCTATTAAGATAATGAACAAGGCAAGAATGAATTCTACCTCCCTTTTTATTCCACAGCATATTGAAGACAGTAGCCAACGCATACAGACAGGGGAAGCGAGAGACTTGCAAGACTTAGAGAAATGCAAAAGGAGTAAACTAATTTCTATTTACTGATTAGTAAGTTTCTATATGAGAATACACCTGGAAAATCCTAGCGAACTGAAACAACTAACCCAAATAATAATTCAATAAATTGAAGGAAGGTAAAATTGATCTTTAGAAACAATAGCAGTCATACCCCCCTACAAAGGCGTATCTGTGGTTCCTGTCTTCGGACGTGTAAGAATTAGGGGCAAAGAAATGTGGATTTGGAGGACTCTGAAGCCTGCTTGCTCCCTGAAGATTCAAGGTCCACCATCCTATATTGAATTAAGCCTTGTCAGTAGAATTTCAGAGAAAGTTCAAGGGCAGAGAGAGGGGTGGCTTGTGAGAGAAGCTTGGACTAAGTGGGCACTATGACATCAAAGACATCTAAATGACATGTAGGGTGGGAAGATGTCAGATTTCCCATGTGAGGCCTTTTTGACCCTCTTTTTTACATTTTCAAGAAAAAAAAATTTTAAAAGAGGGGACCAGCAGATGGCATGGTGGTTAAGGGATCTGGACTCCCCCATTGCCAACCGCGATTCGAGTCCCGGACCTGGTGTCTTGCTTTCTCACGTTCCCTCTTTCTCTCTCTCACTCTGTTCCTCTCTGGTCAATTAAAATAAACAAATAAGTAAATAAAGTTAATTTTTTTTTTTTTAAAAAGGAGGGCCATCATGTGGTGTGGTGAAGATGCTGGACTCCCACATGGCTGATAAGGGTTTGAGTCCTGGACCTGGCAGCTTGCTTTGTCACTTTCTCTCTCTCTCTCTCTCTCTCTCTCTCGTCAAACTAAGAAATAATAAATTACTTAAACAAATCATAAAAAAAGAAACAATAGCAGTCATATAAACAAACAACAACTACTGTGTTGTCTGAAAAGTCATGACGTATTTTTGCATAGAAAAATACGTCATGACTTTTCTGACAACCCAATAGTTAGAAAATATAATGATGGTAAAGCAGGCCTGTTTGAGGTTTAACAAAACTGCATCCATTCTGAAATTAAGAAAGGCCTCTGGGGCCACCAGGAAGGCGCTCGACTCCCCTCCCACGTGGCTGGCCATGGCTCAAGTCCCAGACCTGACAGCTTAAAAATCCCCCCAGGCATGTGTGCATGCATGCCCAGAATCCCAGGAGGAGAACAGAGGAGAAGGGATTTCCCCACGACAGACTTTTTAAGTAAATGCTGCTGGGAAAACTATTTGTAAGAAGAAAATATTAGACTCATACCTCACATTTATATACAAATAAAACTCTAAATGCATTAGAAAAGAATGTAAAAATATTTTAAATAAAACTATAAAAAGGACTAAAAGAAAAGAAAACATAAATGAATTTATGTTTCACTTGGTTGTGAACAAAGGTTTTTAAAGTGGGACATGAAATCAATAAGCAAAAAAAAGCTGATAAGTTTATATTAATAAAAGTGAAAATATTTGCATGTTAGAAAATACCATAAGCAAAGTTAAAAGACAACTGACAAGGAAATGGCTCTGTGGTTTAATGTACTAAAGTCATCAGTCTAATCTTTTATATTTATAAGATGAAAGAGAAAGCAAACATATGATCATCCCAAAAACAAAAACGAATCCTTTCACAAAGTTCAAGGGCCACTCGTGATAACAGTGAAATATTGAACATTTTCCTTCTTTATTATCAAAAACAAGCCAAAAATGTCCACTCTTACCACTTCTGTTCAACGTAGTATTAGAGGTACTAGCCAGTACAATAAAATGTAC